TTTTTTTTTTTTTTTTTTTTTTGGTGCAAACCCTTATGTGGCAATAACTAGACTAGACCCAAAACTAGAGGTTTGATAGGCTTGGGCTGGGAGTCAACAAATTAAATAAGTTTGATATTTACTCGCTAAATTTTCATTTATAAACTTAGTTGAACTTTGGAAAGTATTCAAATTATCCTTAAATTTTATTTTTCTGCAACCTAAATAGTCCTTTCATTAGAGAGCTGCACACTTACCATGTTAAGTCTCCACTAATTACCTTTTTCAATTTTCACAGCTTATGTAGAAAAAACACTTCAGCCAAGTGATGATATGGAACCAATTTCATTCCATGTGTTCAGTTTGATGGTTATGGTGCTACTGACAATGGCTGCCGCTACTGCAAACGAATACACCAACTACACCGTTGGCGGCTATGCTGGTTGGTTCTTCGATACCGTCACAAATGCCTTTACTACTAAATTACATTTCGTAGGCCACAAATCAAACCATCAATCTCAGCGACTTTCTAAATAAGACTCAACACTGTTTACCATTTCATATCTCCTCTTTTTGAGAATGTTTGGTTTTGACAGTGAATTTCAGATCAAATCCTCGTTTGTTCACAATGGAGCAGAGGAAATTTTGCAGGAAATAATGGAAATCTAAACTTGAAATCTGATTTTGTTGAAATTAATTAGAATAAGTTCTTATTATGTTGTCTCGTTTGAAATTGCAGATTCCAATAATTTCTCTTTGTTTTCTAATTGGAGAAAGGGAAAAGCATGTCAACCTGCAAAAAAAATAGTTGCAGTCTCTAGCAAAGACGATGGAGCTCAGGCAAGATAACTTTGCAGCGATCGGGTTTCGGTGCGAGGAGAAAGGGCTTTTGATGGAGTTGCACAAGAGGAAACGGACAGATTAAATTTACCTTTTATCATCTAAACGACGAAGATGATGGAGCTCAGGCAATTTTTTTTGCAAGTCAACCTGCTTTTCCCTTTCCCCTATTACATTATAATGGATTTTTTTTTAGATTGTGTATTCATATTCATATTCATTAATTGATTGGTTTGTCTCATGTGGTTGAACTAAGCTCTGTATTTCTGGGTTTCTTCTTGACGAAATTGTTGAGAACCCAAATAACAAACCCAGAAAATGAATTACTTTTTCTTTCTTCGTTTTATTATATTTTTTATGGTAATCAAAAACATCAGAGGGAAGGAAAAAAAAAAAGGCAGAGGAACAGAAAAAAAATGGGGAGAGGCGAAACAAACACCCATATCTGGTTTCTCGTGCAAGGATCGAGTGACGGTGAGGAACCCAGATTTGGGTCTTGCATCATGTTTCAGCCAAATTTGGGCAAGAATGAGACGTTAAATGAAATTGCTTCCATATCATCAATGGGGTGAGGTTTTTTTTTCATGTAAGTTTGTAAAAATTAAAAAAGGTAATTAGTAAAGGCTTAACATGCCAAATATACAATCCCGTTGATGGAACACTACTAGAAAAATAACTTATTCAAAACCGCGATATTTCAGACCGTTAACAATCTGTCTAAATAGAAAATTATTTAGCCGGAAATCGATCCGGTAAAAAAATAAACAACCCATGTATAACATAGGCAATTTGACTTTTTAGATCAGTAACTGTCTGTATAAGAAAAGGCGCGGATGAAGTAAAATGTGCCAAACATATATATATATATATTTAAGGTAATAGTTAAAAAATTAATATGAATTAATTGGTAATAAATAATTCTCGAATTGAATGAATATTTTATTTCTTCAAATGAAATGCGCGATTATCAAATCATTTTTTTTTTGTAGAGTTTACGACAGTAGTAGATCATCTCACCCAGTTTAGATCGAATTATTGGTTTAAAAGTCAGATTATCTGCCAACAAATTTGACACCGATAACTGTTTGTATAAAATTCTTAAAACAATAATGAAAACAAGAAAATTACAGTAATTATTATAATATTGTTGAAAATTTTTTCCCGAACGGTGGGTGATCTGAAACTGAAAAATAATATCGTAAGTTTCCAAGAAGGTTAGACGTGACATTTATTGTATTGTTGTTTTTTTTCTTTTCTTTTCTTTTCTTTTAAGTCATCTTCATTGATACGACTGTTTTTTTTTTTTTAAAGCTGTTTTTTCAGACTGTTTTCGGTCTGGAAAAAGTCGGTGCTGAGCATCGCAGACGTCATTGTTTGATTTTCTTGCTTTAAGTCGGCAAAAATTTTTCTTAAGCCCCTCAACCTTTTGAACTACATGCTACACGCACCTTATGTAGACAAGGGAGAAATAAGCCCTCCCAACCTCACTTTGGGTGCAGATCAGTCTATAATTTTCATATATTATGACAAATATATCCATAAAATAGTCCAAAAAATAAATCTAAGTAAGAAGGTCTAACTAAACAAGTATGTTTAATAACTAAGCAATCCTCTTATCTCTCAAGTGTTAGTTATATTATCACAATACACAGACACTATAACAGCTTCACCCAAAGCTACAAACTTAGCCCGAGGGTTGAAGGTGTGAATTTGACCTCCCTTTGAACATAACCAGAGAGAGAACAGCACCTTCCCCTCCACCAAAAAAAAAAAAAAAGAAACACTAATCCAAACTAGCCAGCAAGTTGCTTCACAAAAATCTCAGCCATGACCCCTTCGCATATCCATCGCCAACCTAGAAGCCCCATCCTCCAGTGCGCCAAGCCATCAACCACATGTGGTCTCCAAGCCCACCACCACGCCTCCCCTTCGCTTGTTCAAAGTCCATAACCACAACCTTGTCATCCATGGCGGTGCCACTAATCAACAACAAAGCACCACTATCAATCACACCAGCCACCTCTAGAAAACACCCCTGCTACTCGTCCCACAAGTCCAGATAAGCACTCTCACACCGTTTAAACAAAACATTTTTAATTTCTAAACTATTTTTTACATTTTTTTTATCTCTAAACTATGAACAATACATTTTTTTGGTTCTTGCTTTAGTTAATGCATTAAATTTGTCTATATATGTAAATTTTTAATTCCTAATAAACTTATATATAGTATATATAAAATTTTAAGTTCTAAACTTAAAAATAAACATATACAAATAGATTTAATGGGTTAACCAATAAAATAATTTAAAACTTTTATTTTTTAATAATTTAATGATAAAAAAATACAATAAATAATTTATAAACTAAAAATGTTCAAAATAAAAGTCTAAAAATTTAACCTTTCTAATTTTGAAAAGAAGAATTTACTTTTTTAAGCTAATTGCATTTTAAGTTCCTGGTCAAATGATGAATTGGCTTTTCTCCTTTCGGTTCGCTTTTTCTTTTTCCTTTTTCTTTTTCATTTTCCCTTCCTTCACCTTCACATTTTCCTTTCCTTCACTTTCACAAAAGTCAACATTGCGATTCGTTAAAAAAAGGAAAAAGAAGGAAGAAAAAGAGGAAAAGTAGGGGATTGGGCTGAAAATAAACGTATAGAACTCAGCCTATATGGTCAGTCCTCGGGCCAATCAAATGGTGAAGCACACAGGCTTTTCTCTTTTTGCTTTCCTACTCATTTTTTAAGCAGTTTCTGGCAATAAAGGACTGGACAAATAAAATGTGTAATCGATTAATGGTGGAGGATTATTTACCAACTCTGATAATAAAATTATTTGTGTTTTAAATTTTAGGTTTAGTATTTAATTTTTAATTTTTATGTATAGAAAAATTACCTACTAACAAAAAAAAAAAATGGTGGAGGATTAGTTGGCAGGTTGAAGTGGGTAATAAATAGATAGTTTTATATAAATTTTTTAGTTCTGGCATTAAAAAAAGTACACATAACATTTTCTTAGCAATACACTCTTAGATAAACTATTGAAGTTTAACGCAATTGATTAAGGAGTGATTGGAATCAAATTGAGAGTGCAGGTAATTCAGATCCCTCGAACGCCATTGGGAACTTTGCTTTGTCAACTAACACCACTCACATTTTGATACAAAAATGTCAAACGAATGAGAATCTCTTTTGGTGTGA